ATAAAATACACATCTCCGCTGAAAATTCGCATTATTGTCATAATGAGAAGTAATAAATAATTCTTCCATAGAATTTAACAACAAAAAGAATAGACAAGATTCGTTAGATAATCTATCAATAACCCTCCAAGACTAAAAAGAAGAAACGTTGATGCGAAAACAGTTCATAGATTACCTTTAAAAAGTATCCAAGATTCTTGGCTTTGCTTGAAATATTACAATTCATATACATTCTTTATTGCCGTTTCTCTACAGAGAAAATTTCAGGATATTTTCAAAGAAAATATTTAAGTTTTATGACTGAAGAAATGGTTGATATTTTTTGTATATTTAAATAAGTATAAGTAAAAGTTAGCACAACAATAATGAATACTGAATTAATGTTATTATCTTAGATAAAGTTATGTCATGGAATACAATCACTTAGCTGCATATCGTCTGTGTGAGCACTTTGTGGCATAATGAGTATTTAAATAAAATTGATAATTTAATTCATTATTCAAATAAAATTCTACTTGAGGGAAAAGCATGTAAACAATAATATATCTGCGATGAAAATTCGCATTATATTATAAGGGAAGAGTAATAAATTATTTTTCTATAGAATTTGACAACAACAAAAATTTGACGAGTTTCGTTGGATAAAATATCAATAACCCTCTAAGATTGAATAGAAATAATGTTGATACGAATACAGTATAGTGATTACCTTTAAAAAGTATCCAAAATTCTGGCTTTGCTTGAAATATTATAATTCTAAACATTTTCTCCATTACCGTTTCTCTACAGAGCAAATGTCGGGATGTTTTTGAAGAAAATGTATATGTTTTTAAAAAATGCAAAGTTAAAAGACGATTGATTTTTTCCCCAAATTTTTAAATGCATAAAAGTAAAAGGTTACAGATCAGTAGCAAACTTTTAACTCATATTGTACATGTAATAAAAAAAAGTGAGCTTTTAATGTATTTTTTATGTCATGGAATGCAGGCACTTAGCGGCATATCCTCATGTGGGTACTTTGTGGCATAATAGATCTTTTTTATTATATTAATAACATACCTTTTTATCTCCGGCTTAAAAAACACATCATCGATGAAAATTTGCATTATTGTCATGATGAGAAGTAATAAATAATTCTTCCATAGAATTTAACAGCAAAAAGGAATAGACAAGTTTTGTTATATTTATATATTATTAACCCTCTAAGACTTAAACATGGAAAAAAAAAATAATTCTGCGATGAAAATTCATATTCTTGGTGTAATGGAGAAGGAATGAATAGTTGTAATTTTTCTACAAAAATTAACTACAAAAAAAAAGAACGGATGACTTTTGTTAGACTATACAAAAATTTCAGTTACCCTTTGAACCTGAAAAGAAAAAAAAGTGGATACAAAAATGCTGCATTTCTTAAAGTTAAAAAGAATTCAAGATATTTGGCTTTCTTTAAATATATTATATATTATACAATTTCTTTATTGTCATCTCTCTACATAAAATATAGATCAAGATTTTTTTTTAAAGAAAATGTGAATTTGTGAAAAACGGTCGAGTTGAGAGACGATATATTTTCTTCAAAATTTCAAATGGGACAAAGTTAAAGGTTACACATCAATAATGAAAAGTTATTCAATATTGTAATAAAAAATGTGAGAATATAGATTTATATATAGTTATGTCATGGAATGCAAGCACTTAGAGGCACATCGTCTGTGTGAACACTTTGTGGCATAATAGTTCTTTCTAAATTAAATTGATAATTTACTCTATTATTCAATTAAAATTCTGTTGGTTGGAAAAGCATGCAGTCAATAATATATCTGCGATGAAAATTTGCATTATTGTTATAAGGAAAGAGTTATAACGTTAGATAATATATCAATAACCACTAATCCTTCATAGAAATAATGTTGATACGAATACAGTATGGTGTTAACCTTTAAAAAGTATCCAAAGTTCTTGGCTTTGCTTAAAATAATATTTTTCTTAACACTTTCTTTATTGCCGTTTCTCCACAGAGAAAATGTCGGAATGTATTTTTTTTAAAGAAAATGTATTTGTTTTAAAAAATTGTAAAGTTGAATGACGATTGATGTTTTTTTTTTAATTTTAAATGGGTTAAAATTAATGGTACCACATCAAAAACGAATACATGTAATTTATTCTTATTGTAAAAAAGAAATGTGAGCTTTTAAATTCATATCTAGTTATGTCATGGAATGGAAGCACTTAGCGGTATATCGGCTGTGTGGGTACTTTGTGGCAATCTTCTGATTTAAATAAGTTAACATACCTTTTTATTCATCTGCGATAAAAAATGTATTATTGTAAAAATGGAGAAAAATAAAATAATTTTTTTTTAATATTATTTAAGATTGAAAAAAGAATGGACGAGTTTCCTTAAATAAAATGTCAGTAACACTTTCAAGCATCCAGGATTCTTTGCGTTGCTAGAAATATCATAATTCAAAAACATTCCGTATTGCCCTCTCTCTACAGAGAAATTTTCAAAATGTTTTATATGACGGTAAATTGAGAGAAAATTTATTTTTTTTAACAAATTTAAAATGGGTAAAGTTAAAGGTACCAGAATAAAAACGAATAGTTTATTCCCATTGAAATAAAATGAATGTGAGCATTTACATTTATATATTTACATTTATATATAGTTATATATAGTTATGTCGTAAAATGCAAGCACTTAGCGGCATATCATCTGAGTGGGCACGTTGTGGCATTATCGGTACGTTTTGTTCAAAAATAGTTCTATAGGGTATAAAAAGCATGTAAACAATAATATATCTGCGATGAAAATTAGCATGTGATGGAGAAGCAATTAGTAATTCTTCCACAGAATTAACAAAAAAGAATAGACGAGTTTTGTTAGATTATATATACATAAATCTCTAAACATTAATAGAAACCAGAGGTATTGTAAGCAATGAGCTCACGAAATGATACCCCGCCCCGCCTCCCATATAATTCTAATGGCAAAGTCCATGTTTTGCTGTGGCCGGGAAACCCAAAATATGTGTCGGATCAAAAATGTAATATAGAAGGTGAACAATAACAGTTTGTAATAAAGATTCTGTGAAAGTTTCATCAAATTTCACTCAGTGATGTAAGAAAAGTTGCGAATAAGATATGTGTACCCTAAAGCGTGACAGACAGAGGAACGGACGGACATTATACCCATTACTATATACCCTCCCGCTTTTCAAGCGGATACAAAACAATATATTGATTACCTTTAAAAAGTATCCAACATCTTTGGATTTGCTTGAAATAATATAATTTTAAACACCTTCTTTATTGCAGTTTCTCTTTAGAGATAGACGAATGGTTTTTTTTTTAAGTTTTGAATGGGTAAAAGTTAAATGTTAAACATCAATAACAAATAGTTAAATCATATTGTAATGAAAAAGATATGAATATTTAGATTTAGATCAGATGAAAATCAATATTCGGAATATAAGGTAAAATATTCCTCTGCTCAAAATTTCACCAATTTTTTTTTTCAATTTCAAACATTGATTTTCATCAGATTAAGATAAAAAATAGTTTGAAGCATGAGGCGTTGGTTACTTTTTTTAAAGAAAAAATTGATTCTAGTATATCAAATCATGATTTGAAGAAAATTTGATTTGGTAAATAAATAGAAGGATCAATTTTTTTTATCTCAAGATAAAACATACTGAAGAATATTCAATTGTTTCATGTGCTTAAATAATACGCATCCATCAACAAGAGTTATCTGTCCATTATCAGTATTTCAGTAAAACAAAGAATTAACTACATGTTTGTAAAAATACTCCATCTGAAAATTCTGTAACAATTCACAATGACTTATATGTTAAGAGATGGAAATATCTCAATTTACACCGTTTGAAGGAACTAAAAATAAATGTTTTAGGTAAATGTTATAAATAATTAATGAAAATACTGCATGGTAATAGAAACTAAACTCTATAACAGAACAGATTCGATTGAGTTGATTATCAAATGGTCTTTACAATTGAAGTCTGTAATTCCTGACATGAAAATTCATTGAAAAACAAAAATTGTTAAATTTGAACTAAAGGGATATTTCCCGTTGTTTTAAATAAAGAAATGGTCATTTTAATGCACATATTCACTCATTTTTAGAACATTTCAAACCCAGTGACATCTGTTAATGCTGAGACTCTCTTGGAAACTTTTCTTGCCCAAAAAGCCAACTCATATTATGGTTATTAAACATGCTAAACAGTGACAATCTCTAAGATTACACTGTAAATGAAAATTAAAGAAACAGGAATTTTAAGCTGTTTATTGATAATGTCGCAATGATTTATAGAAAGATTCACAAATAATAGAATGTCATGGCATTGCTCATCACATATAATGAATAATAAATTTGTGCTAAAAATTTTTCACACGTAAAAATTTTATGTCATAAAGTCAATCAGGTAAAAAAATCACAGAGATGATAAGATAAAAAAGTTCATAAATAGTATTTTTCAACAATTTCATATCAAACATAAAGCATTCTTTAAATAAAATCCAAGATATTTTCAAGTTTGAACATTAAAGTGTAATCAAAATTTTGTTCAAATGGGATTCATGAAAACAAAAAGTTTTTCACAAGGAACAAGAGGCCCATGGGCCTTAAAGGTCCCTTGAGCATCATGTAACAACTTTCCAACAATTGAATTTGGTTTGTGTTTTAAACTAGAGACCACGACATTCCAAATTATGAAAGAAGCACCATTGCTCATCATAACTATACACTTAGTTTAAAGCAATATGAGCTGCATGTTTGACATCGGAAATTTTTACTGCAAATTTGTAATTAAGTAATTTAAAGACAGAAAAATAAATCATTTATAAACTTCTGTTGTTCATATTTGCGATGGAAATCTTTTCATTAGCCTTGTTTGAAGCAAAATCGAATTATTGTCGTCCTGTGCAATTATGATTTCTAATATAAAACTGTATATTTGGTTGTAAAGAAATATTTCTTATATAACATTTTAAAACTTTATTTTGGACTTATTGGTCATAAGAATTTAAATTACATACAAATTAATCATAACAGCACATTTTACAATCAAAATAAAGTTTTCAAGATACAGCTCATATTGCTTTAATTAATTATTATCCATAGGCAGAGTATGGGAACCAAAATATGCATTTAAACTAATCAAGAATAGAAAAGCAATTGATCCTCCATTGGGGCCCACCCTACCTCAATGGGTTATGATTTGAATCTATTACTACTTCACAATAATTCCACATAAGTTTCATAATTTCTAGCAATGTGGTAATTGAGAATATTTAAAATGATGCCATTAATTTTTCATGAAATCATAATGGTCTCCCCTTGGAAGAAGGTGGGGCCAAAAAATCCATGTACCAGAGGATACTATGTGGAAAGTTTTGGTTGAAAATGGTTCACTTCTTGCGAAGACGAAAATGTAAAAAGTTTACGAAAACAACAGATAAAATTTCTATCAGAAAAGCTAACTTGAGCCTTTGGCTTGGGTGAGCTTAAAACATTGTATTTACATATATTTTAACCCTTAGGTTTCTGCCTGCCTTTAGTAGATTCACTATGAATTTTGTGCAGCATTACAAATAGAATGCAACACAAAACTTGGTATTTCAATTATTATTATATACTTAGAACTGTCTCATTCTGTGAATTCCAAGTCTAGGAAGTTGAATTCATCATTAAAACTGAGAACGTAAATTGCTTGCAATAATTGTTTTCTATTCTTCTTCAATTAGTTGACACTAATACTGTAAACCAACTATTACTTACATTATCTTTTATTCACGATTTCTTAATCAATCCAAGACACTAAAACACAGGAAAATAAACGGTTTGTGGGGATAAATATTTGCAAGTTAAAGTTATTCACGAAATTGCTGATATTTCTCACACACGAAAAAAAATGGTTTACAGTATTAGGATTGATTTGTTTGTATTTAGGCAGCAGTAAAATTTCTTTTATTTTTTTTTCTTCATGCCCTTACAATACTCTGTTCCTTGGAGAACTTTTCTGTTCCATGTATCAACTTTGATTTCTTTCTCTAAAATAGGGAATCCTGGAACACAGCTTTTTAACTGATTTGTATAAATATTCCACTTTTCCTTGGCCAAGATTTGAAAATTTGATTTATAAATGTCAGCTTCCACAGTGTCCTCAAAAACTAATCCACAACAAAAAATTCTGTAGTGTAAAACAAGCCAAAGAATAACAACAGCTTCACTTGAGAGACAGCCATCTGCATTTACATTAAATAAATCAATAAAATTGCTGCACAGCAGGACGTCATTCACTGCATCATACATGATAATTTGAATATATTCTGGTGAAACAAGTATATTTGGTATCATACAATTAGGAAAATTAGGATGTCGCTGTCTCTGAAGTAAGGAAAATACAATGGTCTGAGCTATGGCTTGTTCACTTGTTCCAACAGCTGTTCCTTTCACTTCTGTAATCGTTTTACCTCCAGGAGAGACCTCCTCTTTCTCATCAACTGAAATGACATTAGAACAAACTTTTACTTTTTACCTTCCTTTGAATACAAGTGCAGAAACCTGTTTTTTATCATGTACGTAAAAATGTTCATAATATCATTCAACTAAGGTCCATGGACCACAACTCTCAACCAGTGTTCAAGCTAGGACACAATTAATAGAGGGGTTACCACACATGCCCTCAAATTTATGTGCCCTTGTGGCCCCAACCCCAAGTGGGGCCTCTATGCCCCCAGTTTGTACCCAGAATCACTTAACTTTCCTGATCCAAAGCACTGATTAAAGCTGAATGCTTCTCATAAATAGGCACTGTCAAACAATATATAAACCGTTCCCTTTCGTTACACCCGATGCACACTTGAAACTCGTGACCGACATGTAGTACTCCTATCGTGTTCTTAGATTTTGTGTGTGTATTTCTTGTTTTTATGTGCATTTTCTGTTTGTAAATAATGTATTGACCTGTATTTTCCATGATACTTCTGTCCTGTTTTGGAAAAAATATGTAAAATTTGATAATTTCATCGATATTGAGTAGCACGCTTTGTAAAAATATACGTCTGCACTCGTCGAATCTCTATAGTAAAATACATTGAACTGACTAGCGATCTGCTCTTATATAAGAGTTGTAGAGAGAGCGTTGAAGAACGAGAAATATGGCAGACTATGCCCATTTACGAGTAGTGTTCAGCTTTAATCAGGAAGGCCACAATTAAATATTGTTGGTTTGGCATTGCCAACTCAGTCTTATAATGTTTTGGTCGGTAGGTAGGGAAAATATTTTTTTTTTCAATTTTAGAAATGTTAGTATCCGTGCGTCATGGGTTTCTGGTTGTTTAACAACAACTGAACTCCGATTTGCTTCCCAGTTGTTATTTATTTTCAAACCCTATTAGTTTTAAACCTTTATTATACAAAGGATGTTCGAAAATTATTGAGACATAGCATATATTTTGCTTTCTAAAAACAGACAGACAGACTGACAGACAGACACATGGAGGGACGCCGGACACCGGAGCTAAAAAACAAGAGGCCCATGGGCCTTAGAGGTCACCTGAGCATCATGCAACAAATTTCCAGTGATTGAATTTGGTTTATGTTTTAAGATAGATGCTGTGGCATTCAAAATTTTGAAAGAGGCACCATTGCTCATCATAACTATACACTTAGCATTTACTTAGTTTGGTTACTTAATACCCATAGACAGGATAGGGGAACAAAAATGCATTTCAACTAATCAGTAATATTCAGCAATAATCATTGGTGCTCCTACCACACATAAATTCCTGACCCAAGGTCCACACATTGCACAAGATTAAAAAGGCATCCCTGCTGAGAAAATATGTTTGATAAATACTAAGAAACAGCTTTCAAACAATTCATTTTCAGTATATAAGTAGATCCCTCCTATGGTACCCCCTGACCCTGGGGCCTTGAAATTCACAATTCTGGATAAAGGGTCCTTGCAGTGAATAGTTTTATTTTGTCAGAGCATGAAGTATTAAAACTCATAAGGTGAAAACTTAATTATTCACACCTTTGTAAATCTACTGGTCAGTCAGGCATAATTTCTGTCACCAACCGTAACATCAGCGGCAAGGGAGTACTTCAATATAACCACTATGAAAACAACTCATTATCACCTGTGGGGACCGAATAGTGGCTTCCTTATAAGTGATATTTCAATATAACCGTTATTTTAATGCAAAGAATTTAAGAGTCAAAAACTGGGGATTTATTTATATTTCAAAATAAGCGGAATTTAAAAATAAGCGAGTTCAATATAAGTGGAGTAAGCTGTAGGTAGTTCATCTGCTTAATATCCAGGAACAGAGAATAAGATTTTCAAAGATTTAATGTATTTTCACTATAAATTCATTATAGAGCCCTGCCCAAACACTGAGAACCCCTGACTACGGAGCCATGAAATTCACAAATTTGACTGCTTGATGTCCAGAAGTAAAGAAAACGATTTTTAAAGACTGCATTAATTTTAGTGGTTTTGGCCCCACTCCTAAGGCCCCAGGGGGGCAGGGATCATGAATTTCACAATTTTTGTTCCCCTTCACCCATAGATGCTTTGTGCCAAACTTGGTTGAAATTGGTTCAGTGGTTTCAGAGAGAAGGCTGAAAATGTTCAAACAGATAGCAATAGGTCACCTGAGTTTACACAGGTGACCTAAAAAAAGGTCCTTCCGGGATTTGAACTCTCACATGGGAAGCGAGAAACATACCACTAAACTACGGAATCGCTGAATATGATGTCAAGTACAGGTTGTCCTAAAACATATGTTATTCTATTATATTGTTATAAAAATTTTATGCCTCAAGCTATATGAATGAAATTTAATATACATAATAAAATTGTTATGAATTTTTTGTCAAGCAAACATGTGTCACATGTAAGCCAATGATAACTCTTTTGTCAATTTCGAAAGTTTATTAAATTAATCCAAGTTACAATTTTCCGTGATCGAATAGTTTTCGAATTTGAAAAGTGATTCGTAAAGACCAATGCACAATAATGTTCACTATATCCATCCCAGAATGTAAAGAGTTTTAAGACTGAACTCCAAATAGCAAAATTTATCAAAAGTCTGAAATAATGATTCCCAAAATAATAAATGCCAAAGAGGTGTAATAATTTGAGAATAAAACCGGGAATGCTCTTTTCTCACTAAAACAGGATATTTTGTGCTCAGTGGGTATCCATGATCCCGGATATAAAAATACATTTCATTGGCTAATTCACCATCAACAACCACCTACGCTTTGTCCGTAGGTCTCAGTGATTCATTTTGAAAATTGAATGAATGGGTACAGTGTACCCCTCTGTCAGAAAGCAATGGGTCAGAACTCAAAATCAATGGGTCAGAATTTTAACAACTATGAATGTGATATCAAGCCAAGTTTTTTTTTCTTCAGTTACCGTATTTGGTGGAATATAATACGCACTTTTTTCCTAAAATAAATTTCTGTAAGAAAGGAGCACATACTTTACATGAAAATGGGATTTTCATATGTTTTTCTTTCAGGTGAAACATGGCTATCATACGTACATACCGTAGTATTACCTATAGAGATGTGTATCTTCTTTTGTTTATCGGCATATTTTAATATAAACTTAGTAATTTATTGTTGGAAAGTATGCTTGTTAAAAATGTCATTTTCATAACCTTTTGATACTATAATGACATGAAAAAGCAAGTTAAAATTAATTTGAGCTGCATGTTTATTGTCTCCCCGACTCTCCGTGTAGGCCGCCATTACCGATGTTATTTTTAGACGTTCACTCCTTCCGTAATAATCAGACAAAGCAATGACAATGTCTTTTTTTTTAATGAAATACAATAATAAAATTAAAAAAATATTTTAGGTTGCAAATAACTCAGTGAAAATTCACTGCAACATAAACACCCTCTCTACGTACCAATGAAAGGAAGCCAATGTTTTAAACACGTGCGCTGGTCACTTGATAATTATCTCCCAACAAACCTCCAGGCAATTAATTGTCTACCAACTCCAAAGCAATGTTTTTACAGTTTGAGCACTGATTTTTTACTGTCCTTATAATTTGCTTTGATTATTAATATTTTCTTTGTTAAAAATCGGGACGGTGTATGACCAGCTTTCGTATACTGTGTCAGCTGCTAAGCGCGTGTTAATTACGACATATCAAACAATTAAACTCTTGTTAAATGTAATTTTACCGTATCTTATATTTTAAGCCTTTTGTTTAAATGATTTATAGAAGACAAATGAAATATGAAGTATGCTAAAACGTGTTGCAGTTGTTCCGAAAAACAGAATGAACGATAAAAATAAAAACTGGAAACTTTGATTCTATTTTATGCGGGTTATCACTTATGCGTATTCGAGACGCACTGGACAAAAGCCAATGGGTATTTATTGAATTTAATGCGTAAATTACGCAATACGCAGGGCAAAATGAATCACTGAGGTCTGTCCGTTGACCTATGAACCCCAACATGGCACCACCCTCAAATACAGGTAAATACATGTTACTAATGTTCTAAATAATACCATTGTATTTCCGTTCAAAGAGGTAGAGCCACTTTGGGCCTTATTTGGCCCTGAGAATTTCTGAAAATTCAAAACCGCTAAGTTTAAAATGCATATGCAGTATTTATCACTTGGACTGTTGGTGACCACGTATCTATTAATTGTGACTTAATTTCACATCTAGTCACTGCATTATGACGTCATAAAATGCGTCATTTTCCTCATATCCTGTAAATTCCTTTGAAAATGACCTAAAGTTAAAGCATTTTTTCAATATTTTATATAGAGCACAACCTCTGATCCAAAATATGCCAATACATAATGAAACGCCTATTTCTGAAGATCGTAAAACATGTTTTATTTTTTGGATCGTGGGCTGTGCTCATATTTTAATTCTTTGCTGAAGGTAATCAAATACGCATATTTTCTGCAAATTTCAAGAACATTGCAATTTCTCAAAGCCTTTTTTCAAATATTTGGATTCTAAAAACGAAATTTCATTATAGAACATGAAAGCACCTACTTTATTTTGATATATGAAAATGGAAAGAGGGTGATAGTTAATTAATTGATATAAGTACAGGGCCATTTTATGCATAAGATGGCTCTTGCTCTTTTATTACTTACTATCGATGGGCTTGATTGGTCTATTCGAATCAATTTCATTACAAAATGATCTACCAAATTATAGTGCATTGGAACAACAACAAAATCCAATTTGTTCTGACAAGATACTAATTGTTTACAAAATTTAAGTCCTTTTTCCAATGATAAAGTCACCGAATTTGCGTCACCAATAATACACATTCAGTGACATTCTGATTTAATAAAATTTTATATCATTTTACTTTCACTGCTAATAACTAAAAATGATTATGATATTATGTCTAAGTTTAAAATGTTCAAACAATATGTCTGTGCTAAACCCTATAGGTTTACACACAGTTTCCTTATTTGTAATC